TTTTTTTGCATTTTAGCTGATTCTGTCATGTAGGAATGATAGGATGATGAGAATTCCTGGGAAAGTGTTGATCTTCAGTTCAAGTAAACTAAAATTCTAGACTGTTAAAATCTGATTATGAGATTTAAAAAATGTTTGCATTTTCAGATTGTGAGCCATGCCTTTAGTGAAGAGGAACATCGAGCCCCGGCACTTGTGCCGGGGTGCTCTGCCCGAAGGAATCACCAGTGAACTGGAGTGTGTGACCAACAGTACTCTCTCTGCAATCATTCGCCAGCTAAGCAGTCTCAGTAAGTCATCTTTTGTTTCTGGTTAGTGATGACACTTTAACTTCATCTTACCAAATGGATTTCAACAGTTACATGATTTCAGCTTAATGGAAACAACTCTTCTGTATTTCCCAGGCTGTAACTAACTTCTGCAACATACTGGAGTTGATGCTCAGTGAAGACATGGTGCTGAGATTACTAAATCAGAAATTATTAGAGAAGACCATATATATAAATTTAAAGTAGTGCTAATTTTTTTAAGCTTTTCAAACTGAAAACTGATTATTTTTTAAAAAAATTTTTTATCAATTGTTTTGTTCAATTTGAACAGTACAAATTATTTTTTTACACATGCAATAGATTGAAAACTTGCATTATAAAGAATAAATGTTTAATTTGGTTTCCTGCTTGGAGATTCTGCTCCATGATTGGTTTGCCGTGTTGCTCTGGGCCTTTGATGAACCAGAACATCACAGCAGAAGCACATGGTGGAAAAACGCACTCACCTCATCACTAGGAGGGCTTGTACCCCATATCCCCTTCCAAAGTGATCCCCCAATGACATCAGCACCTCCCACCAGGTCCTACTTGTTAAATGTTCTCTTTCCCAAAAGCAACATGATGGACATAAAGCTTTAATGAATAGGCCATTAGGGAATATTCAGTGCCAAGATATAGTTGACCTTGTGGGCCATTAACCTTTTCTTTCTACCATCATTTCAGTCAAGAAGAAAGGAGGTAAAAATGCATGTGTTCCTTCTCTAAAGCTTAGCTAGAAAACTTAATTGTATTTTTTTCTTTAAAAGGAAAATTATACTAATTGT